AAGCTATTCATCGTTGCACGCCCAGGATTCTAAGCAGTAAAACTACACCAAATATGCAAGTGAAAATTTCTCCGAAGGTTTTTTGAATATTGTGGGTGAAGATTTCCAATCACTGCTTTTCATCTCTGCTACCTTCACTTGAAACATAAATAAGCCTAAGAGGTTAACTGGCCTAAAAGGCAAGGCCATCTGTCCTCTGCCTACTCATTTAGTCAAATGTGTTTGCAACAGACAATAAATGGGTATAGGAGTTAGATTCCTATACTTAGCGTTAATTCCAAAATTCCATATTAGTCCTAATTTACGTCAATGCCACTGTGTTTGACAATCTGGCTGTATATGGTTACATAGGAATAGCATTTTAACTGTTCATACATATAACAACAAAGGCTGAATACCATATACCTTATCACACAAATGGCATTTCAAATCACTGGGAGGAAAAAAAAAACTGCTTAAGAAAATGTTCAGAAACGTTTCAGGAAAAAGTGATAGAAAATTTCCAATTGGAAATTCATTTTGAAATGAACATTTATGTAGAATGTAATACATTCCTTTTTGGAGAAAATGACATGGGGCTAAAAATCATGCCAAAGTGTACAGAAAATTTATGTACATGAAAAAGTCATCATCATAGCACTGACTTAAATGGAGTGTCAGTAAAACTTATTCTTTAGATGGCATGTTCCACAAAAGGTTGGAATAGTGTTTTGTTAACTTGGCTTAATGACCACTTTTGGGAAGAGCACAAGCAGCTGTCAAAATTGTACTGAAAATCAACAGTCAGCTATGTGAATAATTCCAGTTTTTGTTCCAGAATCACTATCCAAGTGGCTCAATTTGCCAATGTTGAGAAATGTCCTGTAAGCATGAGGCAGATTATTAAATATGGAAAGTCAAAAGTAGAAGAGATGTAGTTAATACTTTTATTCAAAAAACAGATACATTTAGAGTTAAGTATTGACTACTTAAAAGAGGACCAAAATGAACCAAAGGTAAAAATGAAAATGCTGTTCATTATAAATGGTTTCCATGCATTACTAACATTTATCTTTCTAGCTTATTTTTCTGTCACTTTACCAAACAAAATAAGGGTTTCTAACATAACCATTTCAACATTTTCTTTCTTTTTTTTAAGATGTGTTGTGGGTAAAAATGGAAAAATGACAGTGCTGTACTTCTGTTAAACAGCGCACCCTTGTGGTTTATGTTGCATCACAAGCAATAGCAGCTTTGGTCATACTTAATTTTTTCTTTTCAGTTACGTTTATATTTCATTGCTATTACTTTCAACGACTAGAAGCATAACGTTTGCTAAAATTCCAACTAAATTGTTCAAGTAGATGTATATTTTATTTAAAATTAAAACAAAATTGCAACAAAATAAATAACATTCATAAGCAGATATGTTCTGCTGAACTTCATGAATATTTGAATATAAACAATATCAACTCAAGAGTTTATTATAATTTATATAAGACTCCTACCAATAAGAACACACAAATCAAACCATACAAGACAGATTCAGAGAAAGTGATTATTCTCTGTAGACATTCTTCACTAGGAACCAACTCTGTGGAGAAGAGTGATACAGAAAACAGAGGCAGCATCACTCCATTCTGAAAGGATGAGAAGTGAGACTTCCCATGAGCAACAACAACTCAAATGTCCTGCTTAGAGTTCAGAGAATCCTGAAACTGACAAGGAATAGAGGCTTAAACTGAAAATTATCATCAGTAGATAGATGAACCTGAGATCCCCCAAATGATGACTGATAACAGTTTCTGACCTGGGAAATGTGTCAGTCAGCCACAGAGACCAATATGAAGACAAGTTAGGCATGTTCTCTCCTGGATTTCGCTGGAGATGACTTGAGCAGAGGGAATGGGAGACACTATGAGAATAGGTGAAGCCTGCTCTCTAGTAGACTTGAAAACTATAAAACAAACACACACCAAGATGGACTTTCGAATACAGTGTAAAAAAACAGAGTTGCATGTTAGATGTGCTGATTTCCATACAGTAATGAGTCAGTATTCATGTGTTCAAACTTAACAGGAAGACTGGAATTACAAAGTTGGTATAGTAATTTCCTAGGAATGCTTAAAATAGGAGTCGGAAATCAGAGCATGCGGACAGCCATGCTCCCTGCCCTTGCCTGATATCCTCTCTGGTGACTTCCAGTGTTCCTGGGTCTGCACATGGCCTTCTCTTCTGTCTCCATGCTGTGTCAATCATCTAAAATGGATCCTAGTTTTTGCAGTTAAGCTTAACTTAAAATGAGATGGTGGTACCTCCAAACTGAAATCCATATGCACACCCTATATTTCTAAGTCAAGTCATATTTACAAGCATTGGGGCTTAATGAAAGACGGTTAGAAGGACAAATGTAGACAAGCAAAAGGTAAACAGGCTTCCAGAGAAGTGGAATTCTTAATCCCAGAAGGCACCGTGAGGAGAAACGATAGGGAAGCACAGTGGCCAGTTTCTAAACAAGAACAATGGCGACAAGGTGAGGAGCCAGGAGCCTAAAAATTACTCATGCCAGGGGCCATTTTGTGGATTCTAAACCTTAGAAGCTGTACCCTGGTTACATTAGGACCTGGATACAACTCTTAGAAGAGTATTATTCAGATCACTATAGTTGAGATCCACTCACAAATTCAACGACAACAACAAAATAAATACCCTTTCTTCAAGAATTTAGTAAGTGGATGTAAGATCATAGATTCTGACTAGAGAGATGTCTCAGAGGTTTAGAGCACTGACTACTCTTCCAGAGGACCTGAGTTCAATTCCCAGCAGCCACATGGTGGCTCACAATGAGATCTGGCGTCTTCTTCTGGCATGCAAATATGAATGCAGGCAGAATACTGTATACATAATAAATAAAAAAATCTTTTTTAAAAAAGATCATAGATTCAGGTATGGCCAGTACAGAAAATGGGTAATGGATAAAGAAAGTAACAGTATTACTTAAAAGGCGGGAGGGGAACTCCTAAGTTATAAAGAGACCATGAAGATCCTTGAAGGAAGAGTTAAATGAAGGACGATTAGTCACATCAAATCTAGCCATGAGTCTAAGTAGTGAGTAGGAAGGCATGAGTTCATGTGTGTACATGAACAGACACAAACAAACATAACCCCAGCTTAATCATTAAGGGTTTTGGTAATGAATAAACAAGAACTGCTTCTTCAGCTTCTCTAGGGAAAAGCCAATAATTCTGGTTCCTGTTGAACAATACATCAAAGAACTACCCAGATGTCCAGATCAAAAGACAAAATAATCAGAAAATTGCGTAAAGATGTGTAATTTACCAAAGGCAATATACAAGAAAAAAAAATTTACTTAACACAGGGCACCAAGTGGTCACAGAGCGGAGGGTGAGAATCAAAAGAACCAGCTTTCCATGAGGTCAATGGTGGCATGGCTCAGAAACGTAAGAGGCAGGCGTTAGTTAGAGGATCCAGACTCCTTGGGATCAAAGCACACAAAGTTACTGGGATGGCTTGGATGAGGACAGTTAGAATAGGCGTAACTTCTGTTCAAAGGGAAGAAGAGTTTGGTAGCTACATGACCGTGTAATAGTTTATATTCTTATAGCTCAGTTTTAAGACAAGTAACATGGAACATGATCTTTGAAAGACTCTTGTTCCTATAAAGAAGTAGAAAGGGGCTGTACCACAAAAAGAGCCTGTAGGAACAGCCTTGTCCTGTCTTCCTTGCATAGTTGCTGTCTGACTCTTGCTCAGGCCCAAGGACGCCTTATCCTTGACATTCTGGAATCCGAATGGAGTTATTCACCCAACTCCTGTACTCCCCCACACATTTATGACTAAACACGAAGATCCTCTTTTCTGAGAACCACCGTCCAACTACAGAAAGGATACCTTGCAAGTTTTGTCAGCAAAATGACTCTCTCAGGAAGGAAAGCAATGACCCTTATGTTTCGTAAGATGAAGGTTTTTATGCCACCACATTAACTTAGATAAGGAAATACTTAGTTTCTAAAGAGTTCATCTCTCTGAGTTGCTAACCACCCATCAACTTCAATACTGGAGCACCACTTGGGGTCTAAGCAACACAAAATACTGTCAATGTCACTTAAAGTGCTCCGCCTGACTATAAACAATAAAGTAGATGGTGTTATGTCCCGTCACATTTACCTAAATCTCACTTATGGTCCACCTGAATAAAGCAAGGGAAGTATAGATATTTTAAGACAAATGGATCTCACACAAAGAGATATTCAGGAAAACTTTAGTGTTAAATATTTTTATTTTAAATTGAGGTGGTCTGGTAAGGTGGCTTAGCTGGTAAAGGCACAGGGGCTTTCCTCCCAAGCCTGATGACCTGGGTTCAATCCCCGGAGCCGACATGCTGAAAGGACAGAATACATACACATTCTTCTCTAACTTCCGTATGCCACACACAGCACACAACCGTACTAAAATGAGTATTTTGTTGTTGGTGGTGGTAATCGATAAAGCTTTAGGTGGAACATCCCCTCTGGATAGACAGTATGTGTAGAACAGCAGCATATTCTAGTAAAAGGATTGTTTAAAAAAAAAAAAAAACACTGATAGATCAAGTAAACCCCAGGATTTCCCACTGGAGAATCTCTGAAGATACCAAACGTTAGAAACCCAAGAATGGAACATGCAGACGCATGTGGTTGTTCAGAAGGTATGCATTGAAGATAACGCATTTAATCCCTGATACATGCAGACAGTATAGATATCCTGGCTGAGAGGAAGTCAAGCAGAACGAAATTTATATATCATGTATTAGAGCTTGAGGACGGAAGCTTTTTAAAACTGACATTCAGTCAAGATACAGCAGAAGTATCCATGACCTTTTCCTATCAACCGTGTCACTGAGTACATATTAATAGCTGTTCCTTTCTCAGTAGTCTATGTGGAAATGGACAACTCAAGTAGAGAAAAACAGATGCCTCCTTACATCAACCTGAAAAAAAGAAATCCCAAGCCCAGCGCACCTTGTCGTTGTCATCCACACTGGTGGATCTCACCACACACGAAGCTCGCCTCTCTTGGCCTTGCACAGCACCCTGGGATGTGGGCATGGGGGGGCAGCGGGGCACGCCTCTTCTTGGGTCCTTCTGAGGGTAGTGTGTTGGAAATGTAGGGTTTGGAAATGGTGTTGGACCTTGTGAAAGATGGGCGGTGCTTGCTCACTAGTGGGGTCGCAGGTGCGCTGGCAGTCTAGCAGAGAATCAAAAGGCAATGCCCATGTATAATCAAATTAAAAACCACTTTAAAAATATTTGTTAAGAATCTTAACATGCAGCATGAAAATGCTTACTTGCTCCCGCTTCTTCTTACTGCGTTGGAAAAAGCTGAAAATCCCTCTGTTTTCTTTCTCCTTCACGATGTCTGGGGTTTGTGATATTTGGCAGGACTCTGGAAAGATGAAAAACAATTTCCTTTTTGTTCGTGGGTGTAACTCATTTCCAGTGTTTCTTTTCCTAGCCTCTCCTTCAAAAGCTTTTCTGGTGATGAACGTTACCAGTTACAGCTAGTCTGCTAGGCAGCAAATACCTTATCCAATTCTCAAAGCAACAAGAGAATATAGCTACCACTTTAGACCAGAGGCAAATAAAGCTTAAGGAAGCTAAGACACACAGCCAGGGTCAAGAGGCAGAGCTAGACAGTGAACTCAACTCCTTATGCACTGTGTCATTGTCAGCATTTCAGATGCGAAGTAAGAAGGTTACAGCACAGTGACACACGATGCCTCTCTCACACAGCTTGTCCTTTTGTTTATTTCAGCTATAATTCTGTCAGAGCTAAACAACCACGAAGTGTTATTTCACTCTCAAAACATGAGCCATTATAATTACAGCTGCCACTCTATATGCAAGTACACTTCGGTGGATCCAAACAAACCCCACATGGAAAATGCTCCAAGAAAAATTAAACCTGTACTGAATTCATACAGATTTTTTTCCTGGCCTTCATTCCTGATTGAAAACCTACCATAATGACCATTTACAAGGTACTGGGTGTCACAAATAGTCCTGAGATGACTTACTGTATATGAGGGGTGGTGAGTATTGGCTATATGCAAACACTAGGCAATTCTTTATCAAGGACTTGAGTTTCCACAGATTTTGGTGTCCACAAAGGTTCAGGACCAATCTGCCATAGGCACTCAGGGAAGAATGAACCAAAAAATGTGTCACAAATGATATTTGTTTAACCTAGTAGCTCTAGTAGGTTACCAGGCCCTAAAGGTTAACATTGCTAAAATTGGACTTCAGTTAGAATGGCAATCATCAAACTTCAAGACTGTATCCATAATCCTTCTTTAACCATCTCCCAAATGTTTATTGCCTAATGTCAACTGACACAGTCAATAACCAAGGACCAAGCCAGCACCTAGGCCACTGTGTCCCAGTATACTTCCAAAAAACAGTATCTCACTGGAAGGAATCATGACTGCTTTGAATTAGTTGATTTTCTGTTTGTATAAAGCAGTGCACTACAAACAACTAGTCACATCAGGGTGAAAGTTGCCAAAGTTCACTGGGAATCATGCCAAGGGACTCAGGAGCCATCCTACAAGTGTTTGCACTGGCGAAATTCAGGATGCTTTACTATCGTTAAGAAAAACCATATATAGCTGGGCAGTGGTGGTGCACGCCTTTAATCCCAGCACTCGGGAGGCAGACACAGGCGGATCTCTGTGAGTTCGAGGCCGGGCTGAACCGACAGCCTCCAAAACAATACAGAGAAACCCTGTCTTGTAAAACCAAAAAAAAAAAAAAAAAAAAAGAAAAACAGTATATATTGAAACATCACATGAGCATGAGGAACTGACTTCAGATTCCCTGAACCCACATAAAGCTGAATGAGAGAACACTCATCTGTAATCCTAGTGCTCCTACTGTGTGAAGGGAAACAGACAGGAGAATCCCTGGAGGCCTGTGGGTCCTCTAGCTTGGCATGCACAGCAGTAAGGACTCTGTCTCAAATGAAGTGGACTACAGCGAACATCATATGCCTGGGGTCTGCTACATGCATGTCATAGCACACGGACTCCTGTATAGACATGTCATAGCTCACGGACTCCTGTATAGACATGTCATAGCACATAGACTCCTGTATAGACATGTCATAGCACATGGACTCCTATATAGACATGTCATAGCACATAGACTCCTGTATAGACATGTCATAGCACACAGACTCCTGTATAGACATGTTATAGCACACAGACCCCTGTATAGACATGTTATAGCACACAGACCCCTGTATAGACATGTCATAGCACATAGACTCCTGTATAGACATGTCATAGCACACAGACTCCTGTATAGACATGTTATAGCACACGGACCCCTGTATAGACATGTCATAGCACACAGACTCCTGTATAGGTATGTTATAGCACACAGACTCCTGTATAGACATGTCATAGCACATAGACCCTGTATAGACATGTCATAGCACAGACTCCTGTATAGACATGTCATAGCACAGACTCCTGTATAGACATGTTATAGCACACAGACCCCTGTGTAGACATGTTATAGCACACAGACCCCTGTATAGACATGTCATAGCACATAGACCCTGTATAGACATGTCATAGCACACGGACTCCTGTATAGACATGTTATAGCACACGGACCCCTGTATAGACATGTCATAGCACACGGACTCCTGTATAGACATGTCATAGCACATAGACCCTGTATAGACATGTCATAGCACATAGACCCTGTATAGACATGTCATAGCTCACAGACTCCTGTATAGACATGTCATAGCACACAGACCCTGTATAGACATGTCATAGCACATAGACCCTGTATAGACATCCCGCCCTGTTCCCCCACATTCTTATACACAAGATTTTTTAAACAGTGCTAGCAGCCAAAAGGAAGACTGTATAAGACGAGCACTCTCTTTCAGTTCCTTATTAAGATGCACAGAGCAAATGCTGATGATGATTAGCGATGTTATTGCTGTGTCTCTAAGTGGAGGTACAAACCACTATTTATGAAGGGTGTTTTGTTTGCCTGGAGAAGGGATCTCTGTGCAGCTCAGGGTGGTCTTGCAGCCTGAGGCTTACACAGTCCCCTTCTTCCACTTCCTGAGGAGCTGGGGCTACAGACAAGCATCATTTGGTGCTTATGAAGTATCCTTGCTACAAATTACCTCACCCAAACCTGTCAAGTCTCTAGATTTATAGTCAGTTGACAGGACCAAATATGTACGGGGAAGTGATACACACAGGGTGCGTGGGACCAGTACTGGAATAGACACTATGAGATGAACCATGGAGACAAAAGGCTTGGTGTCTTTAGTGAGACAATTATAAATTCAAAAGGGGGTGAGAAGTAAACTGTGAAAGCATCTCTTACACACACACACAAATGAGAATTCTATGCAAATCAAAGTACAATTTCAATGATATTGGAAACAAAGCTCTAGGCATAAAAGTGTGAGAGAAGATTTAGATGGGACTTAAGAAGTAAATGTATAATCTTAAATGACTGTACTTAAAATAAGTGTTTAAAAAAATAAGCAAATGGTGGCAATGCCTGAACTAGGAAGCAGGGAGAGTGTGCTGGGTGTGTGTGTGTGTGTGTGTGTGTGTGTGTGTGTGTGTGTGTGTGTGTGTGTGTGTGTGCCAACTTGACAGAAGCTTTGGTCATCTGGAAAGGGGGAATCTCAATTTAGAAAAGGCCATCAGATAGGAGAGGGCCCAGTCATCTGTAGGTGGTGTCATCTGGGTACTGGTGACCTTTGGTTGTATGAGAAAGCAGGCTGAGGAAGTCAAGGCCTTTGCTTCAATCCTGTTGCTAGGTCCCTGCCCTGGTTGAGTTCCTGCCTCAACCTCTCTTAATAAGATAGACTGTGATCAGGACCTTTTCCTGCTCAAGTTGCTTTGGGGTCAGGGCATTTTTATCCCAGTAGTAGAAAGAAAAGTAGGGCAGGCGGTTAAAACCAAAGCATGCATTAGTGCAATCTGTCACAGTAACGATAAAGGAAAACTGTATTTCACAAACCGAAACACCAGTAACTCAAACTTGAAATGAGCAGCATGCACTGCACAAGGGCCTTCCTGAGGCTAACAAATAACCGTGAGGACACAGACAGAACTTCCAGGTTAAAGGGGTCTCATACGCTTTATTTCTGAGGACCCTGTGAAAGAAGAAATAAAAGCTTCATTCTGAGCTATTTTTCCCCCATTGACATATGTTAGCTGGTGGTGTGACAAATGTTAAATAAATAAATAAATAAATAAATAAATAAATAAATAAATAAATAAAACCTCAGCATTCCATTCACATTTCAGAAATCAAGTGACCCGAGATTTGAATAACTCGCAAACTCATGGAGCCATTCAGCAAGCATAGCCAGACTATGTCAAATGATGCTTCTTTCTGGACAACCGGTCACCCTACACACACACCAGGTCAGCCCTCCTCACTTAAAGCTGTATGCAGACGGCTGAGCTGTCAGACTTGAACAAGACATTGTCAAGCCTTGCCTTTACTAAGGAAATCAGCTCAGGCACTGCACTTCCTGATTCTAGAAGAGAGGCCAAAAGTCACAGCACACAGAGCCTGGAGGCTTCTGAAGACATCCCACCACATCAGGGTGGGAGAACATCAGTGGGGTTTGGATTGAGCTGCTGCAGGACTCTGGCATGACAAAATGAGCTCTCTTGACTCCACAATTCCAGGCCCTGCAGGTTCTGTTCATAGCAATTAAGCCTCTGAGAAACCCCATACACGGAAAGCTAGGCTACAGAAGGGACGTCAGAAATCAGTGTATTAAAATACTTGAAAGACCATGGGACCATGGGATTTGGTGGGGAGCGAGGCAACCACAAGCACCAATTCTAGCAGGAAGCAAAGACTCTCTGTTCCCATTTCCAGACTATCACAGACGTAGAATCCAGACTTCTAAAGCTATCCTCCTTCGAAGCTTGCCACCTTGGTCTATCAGGCACTGTAGCGTCAGAACTAAAGAGCCTAGTTTCTGCTTCTCTGCCAGGGTGCATTTTAAAATAGGAATTTTTAGCTTCTTTGATTAGACTAGCCTGTAAGAGCCGCCGAGAATAGATCAACATACACTTGCTGCCGTTGACTTCATCAGAAAAGCCTGGCAGCGTGTCGTATGCAGTTTACCAAGGTTTCGCTTCTAGGCGGGGCACTAACAATCAGGCAAATCAGAGACCCGAGCCTATCCTGTTTTAACAGGGGGAAAAGACTCATAGATTCCATTGTTAAATAATTTTAATCAATTTTCCCATGAAAGTAGCATATATTCATTATAAATCCTATAACAAATAAATATGAAAACTTGCTCACAGACCTGCCCCTCAAAGCTAATCACTACTAAACATTTTATATATTTCCTTTGGGCAAACAAATTTTTTTTACATGCAGTATGAAATGTCTTTTGAAGCTTTTAAAGCTAGTTTTAACATAATAATTTCCATGTTATTAAAATTTTTCATTAAAAACTAAGCGGTGGCAAAGGAAAAACCATGCTGTGAAAAAAGAGCAAGTGTCATCTCCCAGTAGCTGCTCAGTGGGAGGCAGCTGAGACCCTCCCAAGAACCGCCCAAGTATCAACCCACACGGTATCCAAGCAGGCTCCCACCCAAACCGTCTTCTCTTACATCAGAGAACAAACAGGTCTTCCCAAACTCTTAGCGTGATGCATTTTCAGTATTGTCTTTAGTGTCTGGGATTGTTTTTTTTTTTTTTTGTTTTTACTTTTGTTTCTGGGATTGTTTTTATATGTGTAGCTCATACTGGCCTCGACCTCGGAATCCTCAAACACCCCAAGTACTGGAATTACAGATCTATACTACTACTCCCAGCTCTAGAATGACATCATTGATTATCATTCTGTTGAAGTGAAATTATTATAATTAGAACTGGAAATCAAAGAAGGGAAACTGTAAATTCTTTTTTAGGAAATTAAACACCCACACCCCCAGATTCTCTGTATGTGTTAGCAATGTTAAGAAAGTTAAGATTAGAAACTCAATTTTAGTCCTCCCAATTTTGTGTTGTAATTTACAGTTTCTACTGATTTGTGTGTCTTACCTTGGAATGATGACTTATGGAAGGCAGTAACAGAAGGGGCTACAGCAAGAGGGAGTAAAAAAGGAAATGACTGTGACGATGGTGTCTGTTAACTATCAAATATCACACTGACTCAAAACAGTAGGCTGTGGATTACACTGTACCACACCCTCAGAATAATGTCTGAAATTCTCTGTGCAGTGTGCATTAACTGTCTCCTCCACTAAACCCTTATTTCCCCGAATGAAGGAGATTCACATTGAATATCTAACTGCCTTGGTCTACTAGGCACCAGGAAAAAAATAAATCAACCTCATTTGAGATCTCCACATTTTCCTCATTTGAGATCTCCACATTTTAATGCAGCTTCTCTTTGTATGGATGAGAATCTGCTATCTAGAAAATGTTGGGAACTATTTATGATTTACTTTATATGCAGGTGTAATTTACTCTGGGTGCTGACCTAAGAAGGCAATTCAGCAAAAAATATCTAAATGTGAGTGATAACTAAGCCTCAAACAAAGCTATATGAAATCTTTATAAATCAACTACTGCTTCATTAGAATAGCCATGGGCTTGCACATAAATGTGTAATTTATTTAAATCCAAAATGCACAAGAAATTATGTTAAGTTCCACCCAAGGCAGGGCATGGTGGCACAAGTCTGTCAGCCTAAACTGCTGAAATAGCTGAGACAGGAGGATTCCTTGAGCTCAGATGTTCAAGCTCAAGTCAGACATCCCAATGAGATCTGATCACAAATACACACAAAAAAAAAACAAGGAAAAGAAATGCAAAACTACCAAAAGAATTCCTATGACAGAAAAATATAAAATATTGATGACAGCCAAGAAGACCATTTCAACAACTGCTACCAAGTTAAATTGCATGCTTGGTTTGATTTACTTATTTCTATTTATTTTTCCTTCTTATCTTTAATAGGATGCATTTACTTCTATCTATATGACTGATCCATTAAATGCTTGGCATTATGAAGTTGGGAGCACCTAACTATACTCATACACATACACGTACACACAATAAACACACTCACATACACACCCCACTCAAGAGGAGGAAAAGTCTACTTACCTTTGCTGATATCCATTGCATATAACTCTCTCAGTCCCAAGTCATTAAGAGATTTTGTCAAGTCCAGGGCCTCCTGATCCTGATAATCCTTCAACAACACTGTTTGCAATGGATCAAACTCACATTTACTGCATATAATGGGAGCAAGATCTTGCAGCGGTACATGGGGACTAACTCTCACTATGGTCTTCTGTGTTTTCTTAAAGTTGATCACTACTCTCACAGTTTTCTGAAATGTAAATTAAAGTCACAGTTACAACCTAGTTTATCTTCTAAAACAAAATTTCCACAATGACATCTAGAATGTTATCTAGAATAACTGACCACCAACTCTCAGTGAATTAAATAGTTACACTACAGGTCATTTATTAAAACATACCCTAAGCAGTGCTATCCAGAGTTGTGTGTTACTCAAGGCTTTATATTTCCTCAGTAAATAGTTCTTTCCATTCTTTTCTTCTTTTGGTGTAAAATTTTCCTTTATACTATTGCTATTTCCTAACTTTAAAACAAATTCTAAGAAAATAAAAACTACATTTTTTGTGTTTTTTTTAAATGGTCCCAGGGATTGGATTTAAAGTGTTGTGGAATAATCATTTTGCACACTGTGAAGACGTCTCATTCTAATTGGTTAATAAAGAGCTAATGGCCAATAGCAAGGCAGAGCTTTTCAGGCACACGGGATGCTGGGAAGAAGGAGGGAATCACCAGCCAGGTGGAAAGGAAGCAGCATGAACACACAGAGTAAAGGTAATAAAGCCACAAGGCAGAAAGTAAATAAATAGAAATGGCTTAATTTAAGTTATAAGAGCCAGTTAGAAATAAGCTTAAGCTATTGGCTGAGCTTTCATAATTAATAAAAAGGTTCTGTGTGGTTATTTGGAAGCAGGCTTGCAGGACAGAAAAGTCCACCAGTATTAAGGTTTTATTCATGGTAGACAACACTCAACTATTAAGCTATTTCCAATTTTCATATTGATACAGTGTCACTAAGTTATTGTGGCTGGGCTTGAACTCCATCTATAGCTAAGGTAAGTCTTAAATTTGTGATCCTCCTGTTGTATCCTACTAAGTATCCGTGATTATAGCCATGCACCAGGCCTAGCTCAATGTGTGTTTATAACTGGTAAATTAAAGCCAAAATTCTTTTAAGGTTGTTGCTATTCAGATTTGTCTGTCTGTCTGTCTGTCTGTTTTTTGAGGCAGGGTTTCTCTGTGTAGTCCTGGCTGTCCTGGAACTCACTCTGTAGACCAGGCTGGCCTCAAACTCAGAGATCCTCCTGCCTCTGTCTCTCAAGTGCTGGCATTAAAGGTGTGTGCCACCACTGCCCAGCTAAAATTCTTGATAGTAAAATATTAAGCAGATTTAAACCCAACAAGAACAAAGGTTCATATGTAATATTATTAATATTATTACATTGTGTCTTAAAGTATTTTCAAATTATCAAATACACACAATAATAATATCCATGTTTTATGTTGACCTTTATTTAAAGAATGCTTATAATAGCATGTCAATAGCCACGTTAAAAAAAACCAAAATATTTCAAAAACTACTATCCTTCTAACAAGATCAATCAGATCAGTCACACCAAGAGACTAGCATCATGTCAAGTACATGGTCAGTGATCAGTAAGTGAATACTACAGATTGTCACTGATGTTTGCTGTTTATATTGTTATTTCCAGTTAACTCTAACATAATAGTAAAAGACATAAAAATAGTAAAGGATATCATCCTTACTTAGACATAATACTAGTAACTGCAAAATTATTTATACGCTTTGAAGTGTCTCCCTATTTTGATGCAACTGAATTAACCCCCATGAAGAATGGAAGTATGAAATAGATAGTTATACTAAACAAAATCTAGTTTTCAGATCCTCAGCGATGTTCATTCATAAAGCTAAACCTGCATATAACTGAGGGGCTCCTAATATTGGCAATCTATTTGTAACATAAATAAAATGGCTCCAATATGATCAGTAGCATGTGCAGGTAAATTCATACCTAGACAGAAGACAGACCACTGTCTTATTAATATTTAACATTCAATCAAATATTAAAGCCAATGTTTTTTACACTAGGCTGGCCTCAAAATCACAGAAATCCACCTGCCTCTACCTCCTGAGTACTGGGATTAAGGGCATGTACCACAACCACCCAGCTAAAGCCAATGTTTTATCATGAAATTTGTCAACGTTTTTGTAAATGCTTTTACACAATGATATGAAAGTATGTATTCAAGTCAGTGCACAAGTTTTATATATTTTATGAAGCAAAAAATGATGCTTGTAACTCAGAAGCATTTTTTGAAGTCATAAACTTATACTCCTGTGTTTATAGCAGTAACTTTATGAGAATAATTTTAAGAGGAAAGAAAAGTAAGTGCTATGGACATTGACACACTGATAGAATGTTTGCCTAGCAAGCATGAAGTCCTGGGTTTGGTCAAATACACAAATAAATAATGCTAAGAATATCAACCGAATAAATTAGCATTTTTGTGCTACAGAGTTTCTGGTTAAAATTCACACATTAAAAAAAGAAAACAAAAAATCTAAGTATCTGAATAGATGGCTTGGTGTAGACTCATGATCCACGTAGCAGGCCAGGCATGTTTTCACACATGCCTACTGCCCCAGTGTTGTGGGGATCAAAGACAAGAGAACCACGGGCACTTGCTGCCAGAGTAGCTAAAAACAATAGCTCCAGTTTCAGGGAAAGACCCTGCTTCAAAGGAAATAGGCAGAGAGTGATGAAGGACATCCCATGTTCTCTGTTGGCCTCCATGCATCCATTTACTGCACGCAAAAAGAAATTATTAAAAAAGAAAGGAAAATAATCTGTGATCTGGGTATATGTTGTATTAGTGACTCATAAAATATATAGAAGGCAAATATGAAATTAAATATTCATTGGTTTTAAAAATGTCATTTAAGTATAAAATTTTTTAGAGCATAATTTAAACTGCACATGGATTTCTGTCAGATCCTGATGTAGCCAAGCCAATTGTTTTTAGAGCATTTGACATCTAAATTGTTTCCCCCAATTCTAGCTGACCCAGAATGAATAACCAGCTGATAACAAGCAAAGTGGTTTAGGAAAACATGAGAACTATATTATATAAAATGCCAGACCAGAAGCCTACTTTATATTTCACCTACAATGAAATAACCATAAACACTGACTAAAACAAACTATCTCAGGCATAAGAACATCAAAATCTGTGATAGAATCCTTACCTCTGGGATTATCGGTGTAGGCTTTTTCTTGTCCAGAGACTTTGGCTTTAAAATGACCTTCTCTACCTCCAGCATTCCTATTGGTGTGTTTGGCTTAAATTTGATGAGATTCTCTTCAGCAGACAGTAGATCAATCGTGTGACTTGACGGATTTAAGTGGTACTGTGCACAGAGGAAGACGAGCAAATCCATCATTGGCTTACTGTAAAATAGGAGGAGTGATGGTCCTTAGACTCTGTCTCAGCAGACCGTCAAACAACTGCCGTGAGAACCTGACTCTGGACCTGTTTGCCTTCCAGACATACAGCAAGGCTACAAAGTAAGAGCTGTGAGAGCACCTTAAAAATTTCACGGTTAGGAAGACAAAATCCCAGCAGATTAAAGGCAGTGGTTAGAATGTTTGAGGTTTTAGAGGCTAGGATCACTTCACCCATTTTCCTCAGATTTTTATTTACCAAGTCTTTTACATTATAAATTGTAGGAGTCCTTCCTTATCCAAGAATAGCCGCTTGATTTTTCAGACGATCCTCAATATTACAACTTGTAGTCCTTAGCTCATCAATTGGCTATATCCCAAAGTCCCAATAGAACAAAATACAATCTTTTGATTCTTAAAGTGTGTGTGTGTGTGTGTGTGTGTGTGTGTGTTATATTAGTGAACGACGGTCCCCAAACTTGTAACAAATCCTGTGGGTTCTTACACCAAAGAATACTTACTCAGTATTTCCTAGGTTCTGCTGGCATTGCACAAGTATCATGTCACACCTGTCCTGAGAGCTCTATTTGACAGACTGGACCACGTGTCAGCAACTATCCTCTGTAGTAACTTAAAACCTGCTAGAAGCCTAAGCTGACCTCAACTCGCTGTGTGCCCACAGCCAGGCCTCAGCCTCCCTGGTATTAGGATTACAACTGTGTACCATTATGTCTGTTTCCCACTTTGAGCTTTTTAAATTGAGACTTTAAGGGCATAGCATGCTTGTTACTGTTATGATTTGTTAGTATAATGTCTCAGGCTGCTCTATTGTTATAGTGGCAGATTGAGGCCAGTGTGGCCTGTAGATAGAATGGCCTACAAAGCCTAATACTTTTATCATCCGGCCCTTGATATAAAAAGTATATGGGCCCTCATGTAAAGCAACAGAAGAAAATGTTTGAGGTCCTATCAAATAATGGCCACCAGGGCTTTAAAAAAGGACAGGTCTCAATGCAGGAGAAACTTCTACAGGATTTTTGCACATCCAGCTTGGCTTTCAGGGCACTCCTCAGTCTGGGACTCCCCTTTCCATGGGTACCACATGCTGACACACAATAAGTTTTCATTCACATTAACAGAACACTGTGGTCTTGTCTTTCTTAACTGTCAACCCTTTAGAAAAAACAAATTACAAAATCTTTTGTATCACATTTTCTTCAAATGCCTGGAGATCCTGAACCATTCACACTTAAGACAAAGGCAATAAAACAACTTACAAAAGTCCTGTTTCTTATTTCATGGGTGGAGGTAGAACTTCGTGGACTTGGCTTTCAGGAAATCTGTGACCAGCTACCCCCTTCTTTGGGGGGGGGAATGTAAATGGCCAGTAACAATGGTTTTCTAATTCTTTAACTGGATAGCTACTAGCTTTCAGGAACTTGACGGAAATGAGGCCAGGAAACTCATCATTCAGCTTTCCATGTCAAATCCAGCACACCTGCTTAATACAGTGCCTCACCCCGTCTGTCCAAACAGCAGCTCCAAGTCTGTGACCTCTTTGATCTAGGGTTGTTTTTGTCTTTTTTTTTTTTTAAAGGAGCTGTCACCGTGTGAACCTGAAGGGAGATACCAACCACTTTACCTATATTTTCAAACCACCCTCTATATTCAGCTCAGTTTTATCTCCAGGCCATTTCCAGTATCTGTGCGATGAAGAGGTAGTCCCCTCTCCTCAATTCGACAACTGTGGATTGAACCCAGTGCCTTGTACTACAGCCACCTCACAAGAGGTCTGTCTTTAATGGCACCCTTTGTCTCCCCCACGTACAGGCAGCATTCTGCTGCCCAATAAATGACTAAGTCAGTAATTGACTGACTGCGTGCTACACTTTGTAGGGCCTGGATTTAGAGAGAGACCATAAACAAAAAGAATACAGACTCTCATCCATAGGTGCAGGGAGTGGGGAGGGTGTGAGGGAATATTTTAATTGGAAAGCTGCATCAGAATAGAGACTTGGAGAGAAGCGGGGAGAAAGTTCCCATGTCAGCTGTACCTGGAATGTCCAGGCTCCCAGGCCCTGGATGCAGAGCCTTTAGCAATCAGCTACAGCCTTACAGTGTTTTCAAAGGCTTCTCTGGGAAAGACCTGAGGTTTTATAAAGTGAGATTTAGAAGGCTGTGGCAACAGTTAGAGGGCTACAGCAAAAATTTACATGGGGAGCTTAGCATATACTTGTAAAGCTAGAATGCCAGCCTGGACTAAATACTGAGGGATGAGAGGAGAAAGAGTGTGATAGCATATTATTTTTTTTTCTTGCATGTTCTGAGTGGGCATAACAACAGATAGCATATTATTTTAAGGTGCGCGACTTTTGTTTATGCTGCATCTGTTTAACTCTGTGAAGCTGTGTAACTGTGTCTGTCTGAAACACCTGATGATCTAATAAAGAGCTGAATGGCCAATAGCGAGACAGGAACAAAGACAGGCGGGGCAGGCAGACAGACAGTATGGATAGAAGGAGAATCGAGGAGGAGGAGGAAGGAGAAGGATGAGAACAAGGAGAGGAGGACATCAGGGACCAGCCATGGAGTAAGAGGAAAAGTAAGATATAGAGAAGAAAGATAAAAGTCGAGAGAGGTTGACTATCAAGCAGCTCACATCTTCGTGTCTCCCAACAAGTCCTTGGGCTTTTATCTCAGCCCCTCCTTATAAACCCTTCTCCACCTGACTCCTCCCTACAACTTTCTGTCAGCTAGTTGCTGACTCAGCCTCCTGATAGCAGGTGAATTTTATTTAATTACACATCTTTGCATCATTAAACAAATGTTCCAGAGCATAAACAATAGTAGCACACCTTAAAATAATATTCTCCAACATGAGAGGGGAGAAAAAAAAACACTTGGGACTTTACAGAAGGCACTAATCAGACTGCACATTCCTCAAGAATTGTGATAGGGGCTCTGGCCATTTTGTTCCAGACCTTATCTAGGATCCCATGCACACCTAGAAGCGGACACCTCTCTTGAATGGCCCCAGCCTATCAATCATTACTCCCAGGATCTGAGTGGAGGCACAGAATGAAGGCGATGCTGTTACATGAGGGTTTTAGTGAACCAGCCAGTGGTTATTACATCCTAGGCAATTCTGCTTGATTTGCAACATTACACAAGATAGGGGGAGTGGAGAGGGAGGGAGAGAGGGAGAGAGAGAGACAGAGACAGAGACACAGATACTACCATGGAGATCAATGTGCAGTGGATGATGATGTTGAAGGGAGAGTTACAGGTTTTAGAAAAGGACATGTATTAAAAACTTTAGCAAATTTCTGTGGCAGCCTTGTTTTTATATACAGCCATCAACGTACTTTCAGACCCGTTTGAATGGTTAAAATAAGTAAGAGAAGCTTCAGCATTTGACACTAAAACACCTCAGCGCTTACCTCCCCCAGAAGGTAGAAATCATATTCTTGCTCTGTCTAAAGGAGCCACAACACTATCAGGTGGGACTCAAAACTCTGAGGCAGGCGCCACATGCCACGGTCATTGCTAGACTTATCAGTCACACGCTGCTCCCAAAGAAGAGAATTACCCACCCAGCTGCCAAAGTATGCTTGCTGAGGCCAAGGCTTATGGCTCAGGAATAACTGTCCTGACCTAACATGACTGACAGCAGTTAGTGAGCAGGTTTGGCCATGGATTATCACAGAAAAAAGTGCCATTTTCCTGTAGCTCAAGGCGGGAGCATGCGAGACCCTGAGCAAAATCAGTGACCTGGTTAAGAGCATATGCACTGAATTACCACCCCTCACTGATGGGTGCATCGGCCTCCTAGCCCCCTTATTTCTGAATCACTGTGAATTCCGATTGATCACGTTACCTAGCTGCAACGCTACTATTATTATTGTTTCTATATTACTAATAATACTTAGAGGCATTTATATAATGACTTCCTGGAAAGCATATTTAAAAACTTAAAACAGCTAATGTAAAAAAAAGATTTTTTAAAACTCTCTTTGACATGAAGAAACCTCTGCGATTTCTGACTTTTTAATAAAAAATAATCACTTATTATTGTTGTTGTTGTTTGAGCTCATATCAACCAGACCATTAAAGCTATTCCTACATTATAAATGAAACAGAGGAGGTTAAGAAATCATATTCTACACAACACCTATTGTAATCACTGGGATTAGAATTTCCTGCCTCTCCAGAGTTTCCAGCTAGACTTGAGTATCCTCATGATTCAAGATGGTGCTCACGGTGGTGAAATGGATGGCTTAGAACAGGCGATCTGCTTTGTAATATAATTTTACCGTATAGATAAAAGACATCATCAAATCCTTCCTAAATCCTCTGGGACCATGTCTGTATCTGGGACACAGAGAGGTTGTAATCTTAACCTGGTTTTGATAATGGATGGTTAGAGCTTCTATTTCTGTGTTTTCAAGATCCAGCTGGATATCAAAAGATACAGGTCACGACGCAATAAAGAGCTCCAAGAACAGCGGGAGACGTGCGACAATGACATAGGTGGGTTTCCAAGCCTCTCCATGTTTAAACAAGGCCATTTGCCAACAGGGTGCCCAGATAATTTTTCATTCAATGGGACAGCTGAGAGCAAAAGGGTGACTGCTCTCAGGGAAAAAGGGTGCTAAGAGGATACCCTAGAAAATGGGAACACATGACAATAAGTGTATAGACGTGTTTCAAGCAACATAAGAATAAGTAAGGTTTTCTAAATCTAGCCCAACCTCTAACAATGTCTCTTATGCATTCTGAACAAACCCTCAAAACTGCTTTGAGTTGTTTCTCTGCCTTCTGAACACACACCAACAACTCAGTAAGTTCTACACTGTGTTAGACCTTCAGTTCTGAAAGAATTCAAAGGACAAATGGAGGCCAAACACAAACAAAAAATAATCTAACACAAAAAGAATATACCTACTAAATATCACACACACACACACACACACACACACGTTGTGTCATAATTTGTCTTTGATATCAACTTGACTGAATTTTCAATCACCAGGAGAAGCATCAGTGTATCTTTGAGAGCTTTTCTCATACTAAAAGTGAGCACTACATTTATTCTTTGAGGATGTCATGCCTTTCTTCAAAGGTGAGGTGTAAAGGTCACAGAACGGTCACTGTCTGTCCAAGTTTACATACTAAGTCTCTAGAAGGAGGGATAGCGACTACAGGAAACCAAAGCCAGGCAGGAGAGCAGAGGAAACAGGAATTCATTAGAAACTAATGGATTAGTGCAAAGAGCCTCCTGCAAACACAGCCCAGCTCTCACCATGGTGACAGAAAGCGGAAATTTACAGCTGAGGACCAGGGTCAGTCACTGCATGGAAAATAACTAAAAGAGAACAAAAAGGGAGTGAGATTCTCAATGTGCTGGCTAGTTTTATATCAACTTGACACAAGCTAATGTCATCTGAGAGGAGGGAACCTCAATTAAGAAGATGCCTCCATAAGAGATTCCTCCATAAGATCCAGCTGTAGGCAAGCCTGCAGGGTATTTCCTTAAATTAGTAATTGATGTGGAGGGCCCAGTCCACTGTAGGTGGTGCCAGCCCTGGGCTGGTGGTCCTAGGTTCTATAAGGCACCAGGTTGAGCAAGCCATGAGGAGCAAGCCCATAAGTGATTATTTAGTGATTTTGAAGTGTAAGCCTCTTCAAGTTGTTTTCAGTCATGGTGTTTCATCACAGCAATAGGAACACTAACTCAGACACTGACCCAAAGCAGTCTGGAAGAATGCTTGTGTTTTCTGTTGTTGTTGTCCTTTTCCTTGTTCTTTTGAAATAGGGTCTCATATAGTCCAGGCTGGCCACACAGTTACCACTTAGTTACTCCTTAGCTGAAGATGACTGACCTTCTGATCCTCCTATCTTTCTTGCTCTCAGGTACTGACTACAGACCTGGTTTTATTACAGTTTTCAATAAATACAATTGTATGTGAACTTTTGGGTTCTGGTATCCATAATTGCCCTGTTTTTTGTTGTTTTTGTTCTTTCAAATATATAAAGTTTGTATTTATTTTCATTCGTGTGAATGTGTATGCACCTGCATGAAGGTGCCCTTAGAGACTAAGAGGGGTCAATGGATCCCTGGACCAGGGTCCCAGGTGTCTGTGAACTGTGTGATGTTGGTACTAGAACAGAATTCAGGTTCTCTGGAAGAGCTGCAAGTACTCTTAACTACTGAGCCATTGTTCCTCCCCCCTAATAAATCCTAAAGGCCTCGATTGTAAGAGCTCATTCTTTTTTGAGTGTCTTAGATCTAGTAATGCATTTTGTTTTTTTTTTTTTAACCACTCTACCATGGGACCCAGAGATCAAACTGTTGCTGGCAAGAGCTTAATTTCTTTGTTTTAACATAAACTGGCAATGGTGTAGCCTGTCATTTTTATTAGTCTACTTACTTCCAATAGGTGGCACTCTACTCCATGTAAATGCTTGGAGTCGGCTGCTGAGCAGCCCTGTACCAGTCACAACTACTCTTAGTAGTACTGGACCAAGTATGAATAGGTCATGTGTTTTATGTAAAGTATCTCTGGTCATTTAACAAAAAAAATCCCAGAGAGGTCAGTTTATATTTTTGAGGTCACACAGTAAGCCACGAAGCAAAGTGTAATTTCTACCTGGGGTTTCTACTTTGAAGTTCTATGTGGTTTCTCTCTTCACCCCACCCCTGTAAGATTTTTCCCATTTATAGTTAAAAGATATGACACTGTAAGTCTTCCCATTAGCCAACAAATTTAATAAATAAAATATATTTTACTCTTTGGACACCTTTTGTGCTTATTAAAAGAATGCTCATCAGTAAGAAGACAGCTCTCATCACACTCGGTATCCCTCACCTCACACTCCTACTGGCGCTCCAAAGCACACCTGCAAAAGTATCACACTAAGACACTCAAAATGACACAGTGGCTTTACATTGTCAACATTTCAGACAACCATTAGTCCTCCAACTGGAAGGCCTATAAAAATGACCACACATGGTTATCTCTTGGGTGGTGAGGCTACTAAAAGTGGGCTGCCACATTAAAACCTGATAACAAATAAATTCCAACTTACAAAACTTGAACCCAAACAAAACTTTTAAAAGAAACTAGAGACACTTCCTTTCAGGGCATTCCTACCATGAGTTCTTCCAGAGGACTCAAGTTTGGTTCCCCATCTCCAGAGGACTTGACACTTTCTTCTGGCCTCCACACGCAACTGCACGCACATGCACACGCACGAGGGAGAGTGTGCGCGCCACATGTACCCGCCTGCACTAAAGGGAAAAAAATCTTTGCTTTTTATTTTTTAGAAGATAAATGTATGGAAGGCATAGCATGAAACAGTATGTTCTACTGCGTGAGGAATCAAGAGTACGGAGTGGAACGAAGCAGCTGATTCTGGGAACATCTGGAAGTTTCTGTATAAAGTGTCATTCGAGCCTACATAAGCTGACTGAAGAAAAGGACAGATGTATAAGTCCTGCAGAAAGCCGGGGGTGGTGTTTACAATGGTCCTCATGTTTAAAAAGAAAGTATCTGCCGAAGAACAAAGAGTCACACGGTAAAGCTTAAGATATATAAAAGAGGGTAGGGAAGGAAAAGCCTACTTAATTTCAGGAGAGAAATTAGCATATCCCAATCTCCACACTTGGTCACTTGGACTTCCTTGATTTAGTGTTGAATTGCCCACAAACTGAGAACTCCCTTCCGCCAGAGGAATCTGTGTGTGGAGCCACAGAGGGAGAGAGGCTAGGCTAGGTGAAGAAAATCAGCTCTCTATAGGAGAGCTTGGGAGTGTGGCTCAGTGATACGGGACTTATGTGATGCTGCCTTTGGACCCCAGCTTCATCTCTCCACCACTAAAAAAATACAGCCAATATGTGCCACGCAGTGATAGTATTTCATGTAATCCCAGCAATCAATATACGATGTGTTATTTAATCCTAACAATTCTGACACAAAACATTTCCATAGATAAGCAAATGCCGCAAATCAACAATAGCTGGGCTGGGACACATACAAAGGGTGACTGATGGAAAATTACTCAGGTTTTAGCAATGGAGAAGCCAAAGAGCTGGAGGCAAAAGACATGAAAAGTTCTACCTGGTTAGAACACATGTAGCAAAGATGATTGAGAACCTTAAAGTCATGTATGAAGAAAACTCAGATACAGGGAAAATGAAGAAGATGGGGCATCATGAATCAGTCATAAATTAGACTAAGAAGGGAAGGAGGAGCAAACTCAAGTCGTGAAACCAGAGAGTAGAAACCGTAGGTGTTTAAGAGACTGCTAAGGGAGGCCTACCATCTCAGCAATGGTGCAGCTGAAACATCATGAGATCCCACTGCAGCTCTCAGGACAGAGGACGAGGGATGTAGCTTCCCATAGTGAAGGAAGTCAGTACAAGGATGAGACTATATTGAGTGGGCAAGGCTCAGGGCAAGACCATGGTCCAAAACCAAGTCTGAGAGGCCAGGACAACAGCAGGTCCCAAACAGAAAAGACCACAATGCAGTGCGGTTACTGGGGCATCCCAGGAGAAAGGCGTGCCAGTGATGAAACCAGCCTTACCTGTGTGCTTTAGAGAAAAGCAGGAATAGGGTGTTCTGTCTCAGCTATGTCAGTTCCTATCGCTGTTTTAGGTCAATGCTATGATGTCAGAGTACTAACTTGATGGTCACTGTCTGCAATTTCCTCCCCAGAAGAGTGCAGGTATTAAGTAGGAGCCCACCAAGGATAGTCACAAGTATAACAACCTCATAAATAGGGTTCAATGAAGAAACAAGAAATCCTAAAACTACTTTCACTACAAAAACAAATGGGAAAAAAATGTAACTTACTAAGAATATAAGATATATAATTAAGAATTATTTCATAAGGGTGAATTTATTTTATTTTCATCAACTTTTATAATGTTATAGAATTACATTCAATTTTAATTCATCTAAAACCGTGGTTATCCTGAATGAGACTTTTACAGAAAGCCACCGTACTGGAATGCGATGACCAACACAATACTTACTTCTTGTGCTATATACATGTACACTCATGCTATGTTAAGGTCAATCAGCTTCTGTTTCTAACACACGGTACTGGCTAACAACATGAGGGCGAAGGGAGAAAGGTGGGCAGTGAGATCAATTATATAGATATTGTAACTTTCCACTTTGGGACGAAACGGAAAATTACAAGTGGCTTTGTTCCATTTTCCCAACTTGTGTCCAAGTATTCTAAACCATCTGCCTCCTAAATTGTATTTCTGTTCCTTGCTAGTTCAAGTTTGATTTTCTATTACTACTTGATACACCCATGTGTATGGAATTAAATCAGTGAACTGAAAAGGAAAATCCTTAATGTTGCATATAGGTCTGTTTGTTTGGTTCAATAAGAAAATGCTACATTTTAAGCCAAGTAACTCTTACATCCCAGCAGCAGCAGCCTGAAGGGGAGGATGGGGAAGGACTGCATGTGCTGCAGGTGATGGAGCCTCAAGTTGCAGACTGAAAAGTCAGCCCTTCCTACTGTTAACACCTATCAATAAAGAACGAGATGCGTAAAAATCCCAAATCTTAATCACTGGATTGAGTTGGTAGAATACACAGCCTTAATGTTAAAATGCTGCAAGGGATTTACTACTTTAGCACTTGCTTTAAAAACAAAACAGATGACAACAGATGCTTTTTGTCAGAGGAAAAAAAGTGAAGACATTATTGTCACAGAGGCATCAGTGGTGGCAGAAGAAACGAGGCTGTGGTGTTTGAACCACTGCAGCATACCTGCCAGGAACAGTGGCCGATTTGAGAATATCTCCAGGCAGGACCACTGAGAGGTCAATGTCTTTATCTATCATATTTTCATTTTGCTCCATGATGGCAGCAGTCGAGTCTACGGGCTCCTCAGCAGAAGGGACACCCATGCCCTTCATCTCCGCAGGAGGAAGTGGTGCTTTCGCTTTTGGCTTCCTCCTAAAATAAAAAGAAAACCCAGAAAATAAAACATCTTCAAAAAAGCTTTCCATTATTACTTTTTATTAAAATCCCAAACCTAAGTTTAGATTATTTTCACATCCAGGAAAATTGTAATTTGTTAATTTTAAAAATATAAAATATAAATAGCTAATAAACACATAAAAAATATCCATCAGTAGCCACCAGGTAAACAATGTAAAAGGACACTGAGATCCCATCTTACCCTACTCAGAATAGTGGACATTAAGAAAAGAATGACAATAAATGCTGCTAAGATACCCAGGAGAAGGAGTCATTACAAACAGTAAGTATGACTGTAAACTAGTCAAAGTACTTTGGAAATCTATATGCAGATTCTGGGGGAAAAAAACCCACAGCAGATGGACTGTAGAACCCAGCATGCCACTCCCAGGAATTCACTCAAAGGATTTAAAGTCAATGTATCGGAGAGATCCTTCTCCAAGGATAGTTACCATATCTCTATTCATAGTAGCCACACAGTAGAATCACCTTAGGTATCCATCAACAGGAATGCATAAAGAATATATATATATATATATATAAACAACAGCATTTTATTCAGCTATACATTGGAATTATGTCACTCACTTGCAATAAAACTGAAGATTTCAATAAGTGAATTCTGACCAGAGAGACAAATAATGCCCATTTTCACCCATTTGTGGACCCTAGCCTTTATACAGATACATAAAATTATTTCTGTGTGTATGACCTAAAAGTAGAGAACCTGTCTATGTGAATGAAGACAACTACTAGGAGAGGGAGGACGAGAGGAGAGGAAGGGATGTGGGGGCAAAGGGAGATTGACATTACACGTATGTATGAAAATGTCCTTATGAAGCCCACAGCTATTTACATACAATGGATATACAGTTGAAAAAGACAATAAAATCTGCATTGGCCTTCATCTGGTTCAGTAAATGTTCATTCCTACCCAAGTAAGAATATCATTTCTCTTCTTTGATGCGGTTACATTAATGTCTCATGATGAACTACTGCCCTATACACCTCACAATGGGCCCCTGAGTTGACCGTTCTTTCCACACTAGTATGCCCTACTTCTCTATCCAGATAAACCTATCTATTCCTTACAGTCTAGCTTAGTCTACCCTCTGGTCCCAAATGTGTACACAGAACTTCTCTCTTTGAAATGATAGTGAATCTCTAAATCTAGCCATTTCCCCTATTTTTTTCCTGATTACCAGATCATCCCTCTGAATTTATAAAGCCATGAAAGTAAGTTGTAAGCGGCTATTGTTTTCTACTGCCCCCTCCTAGCACTGAACAATGAACTGTCTCACTGTAAGACACACATCTGGGCACAGCTATTCCCCAGTGGACCTTTTCAGACAAGTTTAACTGAGGCAGCAGAGATCCACCCTGAATGGATGCACCACCTCCTGGAGGCGCCAGGTCCAGACCACATAGGAAGGAGAAGGGAAGGACACGCTGGCATTTACCACCACTGTAGTATCTGAATATCACAACTTCCTCACGTGGTAGGATACACTGACAAACTGGGAGCCAAAATATACTCTTCATCGCTTTTGTCAAAGAAAAACCACAAAGTAACTTATCTAACCTTGCGGTTCACAGACCTGCAAAACTACTTTGCAGAATATGGAAGGCTTGGGAGCCGCAGGCTAGAGAAGCCCAAAATGCTACGAGCAGAGCTGAATGGGCCATTCAGAACTTCTGAAGACTAGAATGCCTGCAGAAATCCAGGCAGTGAAGGTCAGGCTCTCGAGAGGTTTCTGAGATGAACAGGACTCTATCAGGAACTGGGTTAGAGGCCATTCATGTTGCATTCTGTGGAGTCTGGCTGCATTCTGAAAACCTAAGTGAGGCTGAAAGCAACGGACTGAGTTATTCAGCAGAGCAATTTTCAAGAGGGCGAAACATTCGGACTGTGGTCTAGTATTTGCTCACTCTATTTACTGAGGTTTATGCGAGACTCACAGCAGAAATTAAAGAGTGTACAGTTTAGCAAGAAAAGGAACTGAGTATGGCGAAAGATGCCAACAAGGTTTAAGTAGAAAAAGAGTAGCAAGAGATTAATTAGTGTCACTAAAGAGAAACTCTGTGTTCTTTACCAGGTAACAGGAAAGAAGTCTGGAGGGCATAACTCTACCTATGGAAGGCACCAACTTTTAGAAATGCAAATTTATTCGAAAAAGAGCTATCCAGAACCAAAAATGCCACTGACAGTCTCCCCTATTAAAGGGACTCCCTGCTTATAAGCAATTACTTAGGAAAAGTTACTTTCCTAGTTTTGTCTACCACAGAACACAAAGGCTAGGGAAGAGGAGTCCAGACTGTATCTTGAGTTGGCAGCAGAACTTGAGATCATCATCCAAAAGAAGATGGTTTTACAGGCATGTAAAGTAGAGGAATTATGGGATCGTGGTGGTTTTTACACCATGGTTGTAAGGAAGCCGCTGAGGCCAGACAAAGTTAGATTCTGTAACATGAAAAATAAAAGTCCAGAGACAGATCCTGGGTCCAAACTTCAAGCTGAAGATCAGAAAAGCAAAGCAGCCGGCCACTGAATCTTACCTCTACCTCAGCGCAGACCAAAGGGGTGATCCTCAGACTGCTCCCAACTTCACTGCTCCTCAGATTCACTCAGACTGCTCTGCTCTCCTTAATGTGCCTAGAGACTAATTCTTTCATGAGACCCTTTGTTTCTTCCTTTTATACCTCCCAAGTGCTGGGATTAAAGTGTGTGATCATCTTTGTGTGAGTTGTTTCTCTTTAGGACTAGATCAATTTCATGTAGCTCAGTGTGGCGTTGAACTAACAGAGATCCTTCTGCCTGCCTCTTGAGTCCTGGGATTAAAGGTGTGTGCCACCACTGCCTGGCCGTATTTCGAGTTAGTGTGGTTGCTGGCATTAAAGGTGTGTACCATCATTGCCCAACCTCTATGGTTTGTGGCTGGTTTTGCTTTCTGTACCCTCAAGCAAGCTTTAATAAATCATAAATAATATATCACCACAGATTCCCTACTTTGAAATACTATTGCATTACACTGTGAAGATAAGGCCTAAACTGCAGTGAAGAACCCAGTACGTTTAAAATGTCAGTCCCGCTGGATGTCACTAAGGAAGCTGCAGGTATGGAAGGGAGCCAGTCTAAGTGAGCATCTATTTGAAGGACGTGGTCTGGTCAAGTCTTCTAGAGAGCTCCGAGGGTACCATCACAAACCCCATATCTGGACATGAAGCTGGGGATTTCATGTTTTATCTGCTTAGTTCCCTAATGCTTTTGCATAACCTTCCCTTTGTTTGCCTCTATTCCTCCTCTTTGGAATGTGTATATTTATACTAGTCCATTGTATATTGGAAGAAATGATAATGTAGTTTTTAAACTTTTTATTTTACAAGGCTTCACAGTTAAGGAATTACCTTGAGTCTCATAAGACTTTGGACTTTTGGACAATGCTTAGAGCTGTTGATATTTTGGGGATTCTTTCAAATGAACATGAGATGGCCATGCTGAAGACCGTGAGTATGGGATTATGGCTTAAAAAAGCGTTTGATTGTCGAGCAGACAAGGGATAGGCTTGTAGTTGGTTAATATTCACAATTAACATGGGCAGATTTAAAGTCACCTAGGTGGAATCACTTCTTGGGTTTTGAACTAAAGATGAGATCAAGTGTAGAATCACCTAAGAGACAGACCTATGGGTAGGCCCGTGAAAGTTCTTCTAGAAAGGTTCACCTGGAAGAGGAATACCCGTCCTTCCATGGGTGGTGCCATCCCAAGGGATGGGAGCATAAGTCAAACAAAAGAAAAAAAGCAATAGAGCTGGAGCCTGCAAGACTTTCTCCCTCTCCTGACTGGCCAAGGATGCCACAACTCCCCAGCCATGATGGACTATACTTTCTGAAGTTGCTTTTGCTAGGTATTTTGTCCCAACAAGAAGAGTAACACATACTTATTTCATAAATTACTAACCGGCTCCAATGAACTTTCACAAATAATTACACTAATAAATACTTTTAGTGTCAAGTGGACAATGAAGCTAGCTGAACATCCTGAAAACAATTTAAAGGTGTGATCATCTTAAAAAATTAAATGTGAAAAAGCTGTAACTAATAACATATATTGTTTTTAATATTTAAATAAAATTTACTCTAAAAGTTTGAAAATATTATCTTTTAAAAAAAAGATTGCAGGGCCAGAGAAATAGCTACAAGATTAAGAGAACTGGCTACCCTGCCAAAGGACCTGCGACTGATTTCCAGCATGTACACGCCAGTCAGCAACCATCTGTAACTCTAGTTCCATATGGAACACCCTTCTCTGGGCTCCATGGGCAGCAGGCATGTATGAGGCACACAAACATGTGCAGTAAAACATTTCGCACACAATACAATTTTTTAAAACTAATTGTGTTGGAAGAAAGAATACTATTCATTTCCTTTCAGAAAAAAATGTAAACTTTAATTCCACATTTCCTGAAAAAAATAGAAGAACCACATGAGATAAATATACCATCCTCCAAGTCAGCGTTTTCAAAATTTACAACTTAGAAACCCAATCATCTTTAAGCACTACAGTAAAAAGACAGAAGTACTTCTTTGTAAATTAAGTTATTAAAAGAACTAGGCTTTAACTTTTAGTCATATAATCTGACTTGTATTTAGGAAAGGCTCCTTTCATAATTTACAACAAAAATAAAATTTTAGAACAGTTACTATAAATAGATTTTTAATCTACAAAGAAAAACACTTCCCTATTCTAAATTTTAATCTGTAGAAACTGACTACTCATATATCATAAGCACTATTTCTGTAATAGACAATTTCAGTACCCAATTCAAGTAAGAGCAAGAGATCTAAAGATGAACAATTCAAATACAACTTTCCAATGGCCCACAGGGCTGATGCACACAAAAAATCTGATGAAGGACTAAAGCTACCTATGCACAGTTCTGCTGATAGTCCCTACAAGAGAATTGAGCTTTCCTGAG